GTGAGCACGCCAATGATGTCGCCAACGATCAGCTATGTAAACTACTGGAGAGTGGAATAGGGCTCCGAACATTTCCAGCCTTCCAGCCTTACCTCGCTCGGCAGTGTGAAGTCTCACGAATTCGTCAGCTGATTCCCGAGGTGGCTTACGAAATTTGCCGAAAGGGACGCCTGGTTGAGGTGAAGGAGTGCCGCCGCCATATTTGAAAACGAGAAGACCCTGGGAATGAGGTTGACTCAGAGTTCTCTTGGCAGATGTTACATTTTAATTGAAAAAGATAGAAGAGTAATTCGGTCTTCTACGTAAACGATACAGATAACTATAGATAGCCACCCACAAGCAAGCTCTCTCAACTACTGTCATTATCATAAAAGTTTATACGCATTCATGTTATACGTTGTAGGTTAGAATTAAACTGATTCAGGTTCGCAATTTCCTTTAAGCCCTAGACCTAAATCGTGAATACTTACATAACTTAAGTTAAGGGCTAGAAGGCAAAGAAAACTGAGCATCAACCTACGTAGGTTAAAATATTTAACCTGAATTTAATTTTGACCTATCAGACATACATATTTCTGCGAATTTATCAGGCGTAGTATGATTTTCAGTTCAAACGTCGTACTTCACATGCGACGAACCTTTTTGCTAAATGAGCAAAATCTATTGTGCTGATTTGTTTGATATATTCATTTATGATTGAGACTTAACTATTTTTAGATTTTTAATATACAAAATCATACGATCGAACAATTTTTCGTTTACTTCACTGCCCCAATATCTTGCACATTGGCTGTGCAATTAACGACATCACATTCTAAGAAATAATATTTGTAAAAAAAATAAACTTAACAATAAAGAACTACAAAATTACAACGAGTCACTAGTAAGGTGGCTACAGGGAAGGTCAGTATTGACCGAATAAAAACATAGGTTTAACACTGATTCTGGTGGCTTTTCATTATGTTCTAAAACGTAAAGCATGTTAATCTATTTCATTCTTTAAACAAATGGATTTTATGTTAACTGATAGACTGCTCACAACCTCAGGGAGCAAATCTTGATGTGGTTTGTGTAGCGTGTGTAAAGTCAGCTGTTACTGAATTCCATGCGGGCATTGAAAGTCGTGCGTGTTTGCTTACTTTGGAACTTTGAAGGAATTGCTAAGTGAAACACAAACTTATTATTCTCTCTTGCACAACCGTCAGGGTAATGTATTTGTGTTGCTCTCTTAAAGCGCTTTCAGCATAGTTTCTGGTAGTTCTGTTGCTAGTAATTTGTTGTTGCAAACATATTAAGCGTAGTTCCAAATAGTTGAACTGTTGAATATATTGAATGTGCTGAGCAAGGTTATGGCGAATCACTGCTGTTTGTTCAATTTTCAGGTTACACCTAATATCACACACTTCTTCAGGTACTTACTTTGTACAAATGTACAGTAAATCATGCCGGTCAGAAAATTCTACAAATCCAATGCGCCATCTTTGTATTGTTTCGCTCTTCTCTCTGAGTGTTGGCGGATCATTCTTTCTTCCTCTGGTGTAAAGCGACGATCAATATAACTTGGTTTCTCTTCACTGCTTCCTCGACATTTACAAAATACCAACGATAAAATCCAGATGAGCACAAACCCACCGAACAAAATAGCTGATACAACTATGGCTGTTGTCGAGTCCACCATATTTTAATAACGATCTCGTAGCGAGGACGGTCAACCAGTTGACGAAAACCCTCTTTTTTTAATTTATGCGTCTTACACGACTCTTACAACCTCATTGACTTTCATGAAGTTTATTACAGAACACTCTCAAGATTATCCTAACTTTTAATCTGTTATTTTGGGTCTCTACTCCTGAGAATGACCCTGAAAAGATCGTCGAGTCAGGTTTGTATGTCGTTTATGGAGATGCTATATTAATTTGAATGAGAACTGAAGAAGTCTCAACCTACAGGAAACATTTATCCCATTCAAAAGTGGACAAAGATTACTTAATTCTCGTTGAAATTCAACGGCGCATGACACTCAAATAATTGAATAGTATTTACATAATCCAGTATTGACGAGAAAACAATGTCAACACTGATCCCAAGTTTAGTACAAACAAATTGACACCAAATGGTCCAAATAGTTATTCTTGTGTATAAAGTTGAATATAGTAGTTTCCTGCAAATTATAGGACTTATAGTTGAAGTTGACCTATAAGCGTTGGTAATGAAATTTAATTCTTTCTTGAACTTTACAAAGTCCCTTCCAAACGGACTCAACATTGTTAGCCGAACAAGCGGTGAGCGACAAACGCACACTGCAGACTTACAGGTAAACGAGGAAAACCTTGTTGTGGAATGCTTTAACAGATTCCCTATCCCTAAAGTCTAAAGTTTAAGTCATTTAAACATCTAATGTAGGGATAAGGAATCTGTTGGAGCATTTTACAATGTTTACCTCGTTTACCTGCTAGTCTACAGTCTGCGTTTGTCGCACTGTTGGATCCGTTTGCACAGTACGCTCGATCCTGTCCGGGGAAGGAGCGCGGGCTAACAGCGGCTAGTGATCGAACCTATCTGCACAGCTCTTCCAACATTGTTGGGGCCAAAAGTTGGGGCCACACGAATTACACATAGTCTCCAAGTTAAAAGTCTTATGGGCTGTATCCTTCCCACGATGCACTGTAGGCCCCGACATTGAGAGATGTTGCTTCCGTTTGCACACCACTGCCGACACGGATGCAACATCTCCCAACAATGTTGGCCCAACAACTGTTGTCAGTTGTTGCGTCCGTTTTTACGTTATGTAATTCGAGCAGTTTATATAAGGAATGGGAGTGGATCAATGGCTTTCAAAAAGTAAAGAAAATCAGTTTATTAGTAACAACAACGCAAAGATTATGGAACTGAATTGCAATTTGGCTCTCAGAGTTACGTGACTGAATAGTAATATTTCAAAGAAGAAAATATAAGAAAAGATAAGTCACGTGATTTCATATGAGTAGAGGATAGTTATATGAAGCAAAGGTTTACCCTTATAGATCGGTATGAAAGTCATTTGCTCTCCACTGAATAAAAAATCGATGACAAACTTTACGTCTTTAAATATCAAAATGCGACCATAATTGAACTAAAACTCTATTTGTAAGCTTGGAGGACGTTGATCCCAAATTAGAAAGTCAAAATCGATTATTCTCTATTTGAAACACTAAATAATCAATTCATACAACGTTAAATCACCACACGCATTTCGCCAATTCTCGATACTTAGTAGTTTTTGATTTAATACGCAACCTGTCCCGTGAAAACAAGACTGATCGACAAGAACCCGTGGACAATCTATTTGATTGTGCCATTTTAAATCGCGTGACGTAGAGCAATTCTCGTGACCTAATTATATTCAATTTTATTTATGGCACTGAAACCAATTTTTTCTTCATGCCTCAATGAAACTGCATTGAAATATTCATTGTTGGTTGGAGTTATATGCAAATTTGAACAGGTTTAATAAGCGTGACTCACGGCTGCTTAACAGTTAAATGAGTTGGTCAGGCTAGTCAGACGCGGATGTTTAGTAACTTTCTAGTCGTACGCCATTTAGGCCAAATGTTTTTATAGTTATGCCACAGATATCCCACAAAAGTATTTGCGTCTTGATTTTTCACACAAACAAAGAGGAAAGACGAGCTACTTAACACCCATTCAAGTTGAGTCTAACTCAATGTTTTGTTTGAACAATGATACATAGACTGAAAGACGATATTATCAAAAATAAAATAAAAGAAGAACGCATCATAAAGTATAAAATACTCGAATGTATTGAAATACTACAGGAAATGGATCAGACGTTGAGGAGACTATGCTGATTACTGTTGATACCCGTTTCTAGTGCCGATTGTTCAACCACGGTGTCCCCCGTTCAAAGTTTTACCTCATACTTAGGAAATTTCCCTTTTCAAGATTTCATTGAGGGCCTACCTCTCTCGTTATCAATCGGTTAAAATTAACCTTGAAAACTTGTCAATAAAACCTACTGGCAACAAACTGGTTGCATTGCCAATCATTTCTTTCCAATTTCCGTGAATTAATACAACAGAGCAGCTCAGAATATTGACCTAGACGGAAAAGTAGAGAGGTTGGATAATAGTTTAAATGTAAAAAGAAGACGTACCTTACTAACTATATCATAGATTCGGAATTAATTCTGGAGCTATTCAAGGTTGCCTTCTTCAATGTAATGAGTTTCCTTCTCGATGTCCTTACAAGGCGTTTTGAAGTAGCACATGCTTCCAATCCAAACTATGACGAACAATCCAAAGAAAACTCCACTAACAGCAATCGCAGCTACTGAGTCCATGGCTGAGAAATGTGTATAGTCTGGATTTCAGTGATAATTTCCTTCTCGTTCTTTCCAGCGGCGAACGAGGATGCTAATTATTCAAATACTGAAACTCAGCGATTCGTGAAACAAAAGGGCAGTCAAGCAGCACACTTGCCTTAAAAGGCTGGAGCCAGTAAAGAACGCGGTGCAACTAGGAATTGTCGGTTTACTACTTAAAGGAACTGTGACACGAAATTTATCAAAATCCAAACAGTCGAAACTGACACCAAATTGAGTAAAACTGACGAAAGTGAAGAAAATCATTAAATCGGATTGAAATTGTGGTTTTTCAAAACTTTCTTAATGAAAGTCGAAATATTAATAAGGGTCAGTATTTTTAAAGCTTTTTTAGCAAGCATGTACGAGGTCACTTGAATAAGAAAACTATATGAGCCGGGGATCACTAGGATACATTAATAGAGAAGACCATATGTATGTAATTCGTAAATTTCAAATAAGCTCACGGGCACAAAATTCGTTAACAATTTATAATGATTTATCAGAACATTAAAGAGCTATAAAAGATATCTTTTCTAACAAGAAAAATCATGTTGTAAGCGGGAGACATCCAAAACGTGCCACGGAAGTAAAAAGTGTTATTCCAATGACTCATAACCCCAAGAGATCCAAACATAATATAGTGAGACATCTGTTGAGAAACCATTCGTCGTTGCCAAATGATTAACACTGGAATTTCTTTTATCGCTTTCTTGGCGATTTTTTTCACTTTTAAATGTGATGTCGGTGCCACCAACGTCAGAGCAAATCTAACCAGTCAAAGTTACAAAGGCAAAGGAATCGTCGTCGAAGGAAACAATTGCAAAAAAAAGGTCTACTTGTGCCATGACAAAGAAATTAAAACTGCTCTAAGTCAGATACAGAAGAGTTTAGCTTCTTTGGAAGAAAAGATTTCCGCAATGCATCCGAATCGACGTGGTAAGTAATACTTACTGTACTGGCTATATTTTTCTGTGGGTAAGCTATAAGGCGACAAAACAGTTAGGAGTCTATAAACATGAATGCCGGAGAGGTGACCGTTTAGTGTATTACTAAGTGATTTGTTTTGGACCCGAGTAACTTCTTTACTTTTTGTTTAGAGTTTGAACTGAACGGCCTTAGGATGAGTTCTTTTTTTTGCAGACTCTGTTTCAGACATTTGTATAAAAAAATTTATGAAATGAAAGAGGCTCCTTAAAAACTTACATTCTCCACAGAAACCAGGAGATGGGCTCCTGACCCCTGTAAATAAAGCCGAACTTTTAAACACTCTCTTCGGTAGACTATAGATGTCAGTCTGTAGGTTTTAACAATTTGTAGTTGCATAGTTTTAAAGCTCTTATTCATGTTTGTAAGTTATAAAGTGAGACCGAAATTATTGAAGTAGTTTTACCAATTTTTAAAGCTTAATTTGTTCTGTAGTGATGTATTATGGTGGTTGGCGTTCGTTTAAAGTTTAACTTAACAACAGACGATGGGGGTCCGTTTAACAGAAGAGTCACGTTTAAAGTTCTATATTGATACTACATGCTTAGTTTTGTAGGAGTATGGCTTGAATTACAGTAGACAGTATTGTTCACACTTTGAACGGTTTCATTTTTGTTGAGCTTAGCTTATAGCCTCAGTCAGCCGGTTAAGTATTGTAGGGTTGAAGCATGTTATAAATATCACTCAAATTTTTTTTTTCTGTCTTCTAAAGCATGCAAGTTCGACTTCGAAACGGGCTTGAGTGGTTGGAAAAGGACTGGAACAGCATTTAACAATCAACCTACCTACGGTGATAATCCAACAGCTCGCAAAAGAGGACAACCTGCCAAGCAGCAGGGGGACTGGTGGATCGGAGGGGCCGAAAACAGGCCATCCAAGGCAGCAACCCCTGGGGCACTTCAGGGAGATGGTCCCCAAGGAACTCTTGCTTCCCCGTTCTTTAAGATCGTTGGCAAACGGATCTCATTCTTGATTGGAGGAGGCTGTGACATTAAGAAAGTTCGTGCTGAGTTGATTGTTGATCACCAAGTAAGACAGCCTGACAGAATTGCGTTCAGCTTTTAGTTTGTTGTGGCATATTTTTTCACTACAGTTTCGAACTCGGCTTTATAATAGGTGCAACACCTAGCAATTAATATGATATTTTCCTTTATACTTTACGAATGCCTAACTGAGTTTTGCTGACATTTTTGTGATATAAAAGAAGTATTTCCGAGGTTAATGGATATTCCAGTCAATCGACTACAGAAATGTCATGGCTTCTGTTTAATCCTTCCCATATATTAGCTAGGTTATGTAGCCCATTATGTAGACACTGTCATGTATATATGAATTCCTAACTTTTTAGACTGTTTGTAATAGCTATATTAAAATTAAGCATTTTTTTCTTGAAAGTTCAGAGTGTCTTTCACATTTTGCAAAAGACTCCCTTAGCTTGTCATCAGTCAGTTTGAGGGGTCGCTTGCAAGAAGTTGAATTGCATCTGCCTCTCTTTTTCAGGTTGTCAAACGTTCTACTGGTTCATGTAATGAAACCATGTCTCGCAAATTCTGGGACGTTCATGCCTTTGTTGGTCGAACAGCACAAGTCAAATTGGTGGACCACAGCAGTGACGGATTTTGTCACATCAATTTTGATGACCTCGGAGGCGATATCAGTTGTGGGCAAAAATAATCTCGTCTCACTGCTTCGGTTTTACCGGATCTCAGTATCGCACTTAAGGGAGTAGACACAAAACATTTATAAGATAAGATAAGAGGGAATAGTTAATCAAAGTAATCGATTAGATTTAAGTTGATGAATACGTAACTCACCATCTAAGGATACCGAATTATATGTTTTTCTGTTACTAACAGTTTAACTGTAAACACGTATCTGGAAATAAAGATTTTAATTATACTTCAATTGTATCTCGTCTTGAAGTTATGATGACCTCAGAATATAATATTATGGTTAATATCGATCACAGTCACCTTTCACTTATCCCTTATCCACTTATCCCATGCATGCATGCATGTACTCTATATTTTTTAATAATATTTCCTGATGACTTTTTACCATTTTTCTCACAGTTCTGAATATATTAAACTTTTACAATAATTTATCATCATCCTTCAAAAGCATTATTTACGAATTTACTGGCTGTAATTTTAACTAAAAACTATATTTTACGGAAATGTGTTCATAGGAGAAGATTCTTGACTGTCTACTGAATAATTTACTAATTATATTAAGACGGCTAAGCCCGGCAAGAGACTTCCTCGGGAGAGTTTCTTATTATGCTTACAGAAGCTCGGTAGTAAATAGGATGACCCTTTCTTGTACCAAGAAGTGTTTCTCTCATTTGCGCAAAGGAAGGAGGGAAGGAGAAAACAGACGAGACATCGCTTCGCCTTCTTTTTTCCTTCCCATGGTCCTTTGTGTTTCGTCACCAGTCACTCGCAATTCGCGCCTGAGGATGAGACAGATGACCCATATATAACAGTAACAGTTCTTATGGATATCATAGGGAAACCAAGATATACAAGCTATATCTGATTGAGTTTTAATCCAATGACAAGGACCAAGTCAAATTTGAGAAGCTAATTTAGCATAACGTTTCTTTAAATTCCCTTCAATTTCCCTCAATTTTGGCAAAATAGTTTGTACAGTAATTAATCCATTGTAATCACTGAATTGGATAAAGCGCTTTATACTGATTCACAGCCAACGCGAGTCCATCAGTCCTGCTCTTTTGATTCAGTAAAGAATACTGCAAATCGTAACTGCAATATTGATTGAGATTTCCCTGGAATTTTTAGCTGAAACTCAATTACTCCGAGTTCTGTGTACCAACAGAATCCACAACAGAAAAAAATACATCTAGCCATGGGCTATAGCGAACAGGGGCTCGACTAAATAAAGATTGGTTAAATTTTTGTTTAATAAGTATTGAATTACTCACATTAAAGTACAATAGTAGAACTGACCAGAAACGAGAGCCGGGGAAGACTACTTCAATGTGAGTGATTCAACTTTATTACACAAAAATTTAACTGTCATTATTTAGTCGAAACCCATGTTTCCTATAGCCCATCATCTGACCGAAACGCTTGTTCTTTCTTCCTCTTTCTTTTTTTTCTCAATACACCCTCTTTTTTGTTTATTTCTGACTAGTCCCCACTAATAACGACGTGTTTAAAGAGGAGGAGGAAAAAACATTCGTTCCGAACAAGTTCACGAGACTAGTATTTTTTTAAGTTCCATAGCGAATAAGGACAGAGATCAGTTACTTAGTGCTCCGTAGATTTGAAGATGTCGAACAAATTTCATCAGGAAGGACCTACCAAATTTTTTTTGCATGGGTAATTTTTGCAAGCATAGCCGCTTAAAAGTCTCTTAAAACTTGAAAAAGTTATTCAAGTTTCAATCCATGTCCATCCTTGCCATGGCATTGCAAAAGACGGCAGCAAACAGTTTCAATGCCCAAATATAGTCTTAAATAACTAAACGGGGCCATTGTTTTTGGAATAAAAATGATGCGAAGACAAGTTTCAAAAAGAGAGCAAATAGCGTTACATAAAGTAGAACCAGTCAGGCCAAGAAACCCCAGTTTCGATAATTTCATAGCGGCTCAGTCGAGGATTACAATATTTAGTCTTGTGAAGATTGTAATCCTGCCAACTGCTGTGAATAAGGAAGCTTTCGAATACAGTCGCCTCTAATCGCTTCTCCTTAGTGGGAAGTTTTAGCTCAGTTGCTTTGCTTGGCCACACGAAATGAAAGCCATACTGCAGTCCCCCATGCAAGTGCAGCCGAAACGTTTCCTCGTTTTCCTCCGTTTAACATCTCGGTTGCTGTCTCTGGAGGTTGCGGCCAGTCTTCAGTCTTCAGAAGTCGAAGCAGCGTTCTTTCCCCGGTTTGAAAAGGCTCGTTGAGGCCCTACGCGAAATATGAATTATCCTTTAAACAGTTATTTGGATGGGAACTGATGACTTCTCAATACCGAACCAGTGCGTTGACAAGCTCTTCTTCAAAACGTCAATCTTCGTTTTGTAATTAAAAAAATGTCTCAGAATGCCTAGATCAGAAATAAACATTATTATTTACTGTTGTAATGCGCATTCGATCATATCTTTATCGCATGCTAGACTGCGCAATATAAGAAATAAACATTATTATTAGGTCATTTTACTCACCGCTATCTTTTTACCAAATATGTTGTGTGGAAAACCCTTAAAATAGCATATCAGAGCGTCTCGATTTGAAATTTTCAGGAGGGGGAAGTAGCCTTCTTTATTTTAAAGTTTGCTTCTTAATTTGGTGCTCTAACAGAGAGGAGAAGTGTGACTTCACGTTACCATGGAAGCAAAATTTCTGGATCACAACAATAGAGAGCTAAAATGGAACTTATTTCGGGGCGACGGCAACTTCAACCGGACGTGACATCATTGTTTGTGCAATATTGCTGCGGCATGCTCTTGCTCACCACATTGCCGTCGTGCTCCCCTCGGCGACGTGAAACTGGTCTGTTTGGCGTTGTGGCGAGAACGTGAGTATTTAACTTTCATTTCAATCAGGTTAGTTGCGTTTAGCAGCCAGAATTTGCAGATTATCGTTCTTAAATGGTCCTTGTTTTCTTTGAGTCACATTTCAAGCTCGATCTCCAAGCTCTGTTATCTACACTTACATCTTTATAATGTTTCTATGTTTCATGTCACAGAGTCAAGATCCAATCTGATCCAATATGGCAAACAGCAAACCGTAAGTGAGCTTTACATGGACAAAATTGTCCCACGAGCCAAATGAAAGTGTCCAGACCAAAAGTATGAACTCCGATATTTTAATTGTGTGTTTTTAGCTCACTTATTTCGTTAGGGTACCGTATAAACGAAACGTATGTATTGAAAATTGTTTAGAATAGAAGGTAATACCACGTACTAACGTGGGAATACTGAAATAGAGTTGTTGTTGTTGCTGTTGTTGTTGTTGCATGCAAGCAAATAAGCATTAATTCTCTTAATTCTTTATGCGCAGCCATACTTTCCTCTTCGGTAGTCTTCCAAGGCGCCGTCCTCCTGAGTTCACTGCGATCTTAATATTCGAATTTTGGAGGGAAGCGACGGTAACCTCTGTTCCAGGCTTGCTCTGCCAGTCCGGTCGCCGTCGCCCCGAAAACGTCTCTAACTTAAGTTCCCTAAAGCAACGACGACGGCGACGGCAACGAGAGCGACAAAAAAGCGATAGGTTAGATAAGCAAAACAACAACTTTGTAAATGCAGCACTCTTTTTTGTACATTTCTTTGCTGCGTTACTCGACTGCGACATGAGACTTCCTAATTTCACGCGCCCACATTATGGAGTATGTGAACACAACACAAATATTGTCTTTTTCTTTTTCTAAACTTAGATACGGTCCTTTCGGATTCAACCCCTGAAAATTCGCCAACATTTGGCAGATGAAATGACATTCGATATAATCGATTAAGTTTAAAACAGTGCGAATTCACTTTTTAAATGATGTTTTCTGTTTGTTGTCATCCAGAAATTTTGCTACCATGGCAACGTGACGTAACGACTTCTCCTCTCTACTCCCTCGTGGTGCTATCTTTAAAAAAAAAGGTCTAGGTACGCCCCAGTCTTTTCATATAAGTCAGGGGCGTAGGTATCTGTCTGCACGTGCGCACTGGCTAAAAAGACGCCGAACCTAAATAAAAACAAAAAATATATATAAGACACACGCGAAATATGTTGTGGCAGGAGGACTCCTCATGATGATTGCAGTAGACACATTTGCCATTTGCCATGTTCTAAAACGTAAAGCACGTTAATCTATTTCATTCTTTAAACAAATGGATTTTATGTTAACTGATAGACTGCTCACAACCTCAGGGAGCAAATCTTGATGTGGTTTGTGTAGCGTGTGTAAAGTCAGCTGTTACTGAATTCCATGCGGGCATTGAAAGTCGTGCGTGTTTGCTTACTTTGGAACTTTCAGGGGCACCCAACGACAATTTTCGGAAAAATATCTGTTCGGAAGGCGATTTGAGATCTAGAATTTTCGGAACATTTGTTGTAAAACGTCTTGCTTGCCTGCCTCTCCTAGGATTTTCGAACATCTAAAAAATCGTAAAATTGCTCATTTTCAACGGATTTTTACCCTAAAAAGGTCACCTAGAATTTTCGGGAGCCTTTTTTCTGGCTGAAATTTTCGAACAGGTAAGTTTTGATCCCTATAATTTTCGGATCACTAGACTTTCAGCTAGGAAATCCGAACAGATGAAAAATTTATAGGGGATAAAAATATGCCCATATCCACCGTGTAAATACTAAAACACGTTTAACAATGCCATGTTTAAGTGGTTTTGAACTATATTCTCGTTGGGTGCCCCTGAACTTTGAAGGAATCTGCTAAGTGAAACACAAACTTATTATTCTCTCTTGCACAACCGTCAGGGTAATGTATTTGTGTTGCTGTCTTAAAGCGCTTTCAGCATAGGAGTGTTTGAAGTAAAGTTTCTGGTAGTTCTGTTGCTAGTAATTTGTTGTTGCAAACATATTAAGCGTAGTTCCAAATAGTTGAACCGTTGAATATATTGAATGTGCTGTGCAAGGTTATGGCGAATCACAGCTGTTTGTTCAATTTTCAGGTTACACCTAATATCACACACTTCTTCAGGTACTTACTTTGTACAAAAGTACAGTAAATCATGCCGGTCAGAAAATTCTACAAATCCAATGCGCCATCTTTGTATTGTTTCGCTCTTCTCTCTGAGTGTTGGCGGATCATTCTTTCTTCCTCTGGTGTAAAGCGACGATCAATATAACTTGGTTTCTCTTCACTGCTTCCTCGACATTTACAAAATACCAACGATAAAATCCAGATGAGCACAAACCCACCGAACAAAATAGCTGATACCACTATGGCTGTTGTAGAGTCCACCATATTTTAATAACGATCTCGTAGCGAGGACGGTCGACCAGTTGACGAAAACGCTCTTTTCTTAATTTATGCGTCTTACACGACTCTTACAACCTCATTGACTTTCATGAAGTTTATTACAGAACACTCTCAAGATTATCCTAACTTTTAATCTGTTATTTTGGGTCTCTACTCCTGAGAATGACCCTGAAAAGATCGTCAGGTTTGTATGTCGTTTATGGAGATGCTATA